TTTACCAAAGCCTTGTCTGTACAACGTTTTCAGTTTCTACGACACAAGCTAACTATTCACGACCCGAATATTAGCTTGAGGGGAGGTGATAAACAATGTGATAAGCAAGCCCACATATCGCCTCATGCTTCCACTACTCTGCCACGGTAACAGAGAACTTTTCTCTGATTGTAATCTCCACCGTTAATGCTTAACCGACTCATCTCTGCCGTTCAAGTGCTGTCATGCTCTTGATTATATAGCGTGTAACAGCAACGCAAAAGCCATCAAGGAAAAATGCTTTTCACTGTTCATTCTCTCGTTCATCCTCTCGTTCCTTCTTCTCTGCTTCTTGTTTTGTGCTAACTCTGTTTTGCAGATGAAGACAATTAGTTGAAGCAAATTCTACAGTGCCATACTTCGAGGTTTGGTCTGCTGCAATTACTTCAAATTTTTTTTCCCTATTTCGCAGATCGTTATTGACAAATGCTGTTTACCACAGCAACTAAAGTACGTTCAAGCAGTGGACAAAATTTGAGCTTTTTGTCTAACATCCCCGCATCCCATTACCCGACAATGATCCTTGAACCAATGGATCTAAAATTCTGGGAGAGAAAATTCCTGATTCGGATGTGGCTGGAATGGCAGTGCAAGCAGAGATTAAGAATCTCAATGTTTCTGACTCAATTAATGGCAATAATTGTCTGGAGAAACCCTTGGGACTTGAACATGGACTTCAATGGTGAAGTTCATGAAGCCAAGAGGGAGTCTTCGGGAATCAAAGGAACTACCATTAGAAGGAGATTGGAAGAAGGAAATGAAGAGCTGGAGAAATCTCCCAATGTTAACTCAGAAGTCTATGATAGTCAAAAGTCAAGTGATAAATAGGAAGAATCTTCAGAACCTATGGGACATTGCTCCATCTCAAGCTTATGAAGGAAATGTCTCTTCCACTGATGGAGATAGGAGTGCACACACAGCTGTGTACCTACGCGATTATGAGTACACAGCTGTCTATTGGCCTGAGTGCGATTACAAAACTGTGTTCACACCTCCAACATAAACAATATTGCATATTTTTTTTTGCATCTGGTACAGTAAGATCATGTTGTAGAGGCTATGGAAATGAGAAGGAAATATCACCATGATTATGGAGCTCAAAAAAATTCCTTTTGAGGCAATGCAATTATAAGTTTGTTCAATCAATAGGATTGTAACTGTTGGGGATGAGGAAGTAAACCACTCAATGAAACAAATAAGAAAGTAAAGGCAACGGAAATAAAAGGGCACTAGGATTTAACGTGAAACAAATCTGAAATCGGGAAAAAAACTACAGAGCCACAACACAGCAAGAAATCCACTATAAAATTGGGGAGAAATAAGTACAGATTTCTCTTCTCTTGCTTTCTCCTTGCTTTTCATCTCTCTTACACCGTTTTCATATTCAAAACAAAAGATAAAGTCAAGTATATACCACCAGGGGATGCTACCCGTACGAAAAACGAGAAAGAAAATTGTTCGGTTCACCTTGTAATGTTGCGGCATCAGTTTGGACTGCTGTGGCACTCAAACCTTTGATATCAATCCATTTGACGAAGTTATGATGCTCAAACCTGCAGCGCTGCGGCGCTCAAACCCGCAACATTGTGGCGGCGAATCTAGAGCGCTCCGTTCTATGTTATTTATCTCAGCAAACTCTATAGTGTCGGGACGCTCGGGTATATAACGCCGGGGCATTGTATGAGAAAAATTTTCAAACGAAGCCTAAAGCTAAAATTGACTTGAGGTTCGAGGCAATAGTACGATCCGATTGATCGACACAATCATAGTTCACACATACTAACAATACCAATGATTTGCGCAATATATCTACATATTCCTTTATATAAAGGCGATCATCTAATAGTGCAGTAGCACCTTACTCATAATATTTTTTATCCATCATGATAATGTATTCTTTGATTAACTGGATGTGTGAGCTATCACCAACAATCAAGTGGAAGCCTGTGCTTCTGTCCATCATCTAACTTTTCATATATAATTCCAACAACTACACTGAAGAGCTGTGCTGAGGCTGATCCCACCAAGACCACAAGCAAAGAAACCAAACCTCCAAAGCTTCACTTCTACATAGATAACATTGACAATAACCTGCCTAACTTTTAATGTTTGCTGACCAATCTCTCCACTGAAATTTATTAATATATAATCACCTCTTCCTCTGTATGATCAAATTATGAGTGGAGATGAACAATTACTCTTTGGATCTGTTGCTAGTTCCCTTCAGCATCTTCATCAATGCAAGCTACCATTTCTACTTATGGCAGAGCTGCAAGTCCAAACAGCCTAAGACCACCATTGGAGTAACCATTGAAAGGAAAAGAGTATGGCTTCAAAGCATCATGTCGGTAAGAAACTTTTCATGTTGATAGCAAGCTTGGTTTTTTTTTATCATATTGTCAGATTTCAGATTTTATTGATTATAGATTATTTATCTTGCAATTCATGTTTTGTTTAGGATGATTTTTTTAGTACTTCTTAAAGCAGCTGTACTAAAAAATTGCTTTAAAATGCAGTAAGAAAGCCGTCTCAAATAAAACCTCAATCTATTAATATATGTTTCTATGATTTATTTTTATTGTTGCTTGTATCTCAAATAATTATCATGCTATTGTAGTTTTTTTTCTTTCTTTACTAGCTAGGAAGATAAATCATGTAGTGCTATTGACCTCAAATAAAATTATATTAAAATTAATGACATATTAGTTATATTAAAAATATTAATTAATATATTGTATTTTTATTTAGAATTTCGAGTGAATCTAATCCTAAACTCAAACTCAAACTCATACTCGAATATGCAAGATCTAAAACCCGAAATCTATAGAAATAAAGCGGAAGCTTTCAATAACTATAGCTTTGTTTGAGACAACTTTCTTACTATTTTATAATTTTTTGTACTAGAAAATTGTTTTAGAAAATAATATTAAAACTGTTTCAAACGAACCGTAACGCTAAAATTGCTACTTGTTATATTATAGTTTTTATTGTATAGTGTTTTGAATTAATCTAGTAAAATATATGAATACAAAATCATAGATCTTGAATCCATCTTCTCATCCCTACAAAATATTCTAATACAAGTTCTAAAAGTTCATGAATGCAAACAGGTAAATGACAACAAGGTCATCCTTGGAGTCCAAACCTTCCGCAACTCGATCATGTCGACCATCTTCTCCGCAGCCATCTCCATCGTCATCAATGCCGCCCTCGCTTCGTTCGCCAGCAACTCGTACACCTCGAGCCACCTCTTCGCCGGCCGCCCGACATTCGGCTCTCAATCAGAAGCAATGCTGGTATTCAAATACTCATCTGTTTCTCTTCTTATGCTCTTGAGCTTCCTCTTCAATTCCATGGCTGTGGGATTCATCATAGAAGCCAATTTCCTGATTAATTTAAATGAAGGGGAGGTGTTCAGGGCTAATGCAGAGGGGATGATGATGAAGGGTGTGGTGCTGAGTGTGGTTGGCAATAGAGCTTTGTATGTTGGGCTCTCCTTACTGATTTGGATGTTTGGACCGTTGGCTTTCGGTTTGTGTACGGCTGGGATGCTTTGGGGGTTTTATAGGCTTGATTTTACCATGGGAGAATAATCAATTATTAGCTCAAATTTTTATTATTTCCAAGTATTCTTTGTCATTTTTATAGTTAAATTAAATATTTATTATTTTTATCATAGCTTTGTATGTTGGGCTCTCCTTACTGATTTGGATGTTTGGGCCGTTGGCTTTCGGTTTGTGTACGGCTGGGATGCTTTGGGGGTTTTATAGGCTTGATTTTACCATGGGAGAATAATCAATTATTAGCTCAAATTTTTATTATTTCCAAGTATTCTTTGTCATTTTTATAGTTAAATTAAATATTTATTATTTTTATCATACTTTTACTTCTATAATAATAAACATAAAACTTTAAATAATAAAGCATAAAATAAGTTATCAAATAAATAATTAAATAATATTAAACAAACCTTTTATCAAACTTTTAAAATTTGTTTATCAAACAACAAATAAATATATACACAAAAATAAATAAATAATTTTAGAAAAATTTTATTTAATTATTTTTTAATGATGATAAATTTATGCATGGAATAAATTATTACAATCAAAATTATTGTTGATTGTGTTATTTATTTCATATTCAGTAGGCCTAACATGACATATATATTTTTCCTATTTATATTTCCAATTCTTCACATATTTACACTAAATAAAGAAAATTTTCTCTTCTTATTAAATTAAAATATTGATATCCATCACAACATTTATTTATTTTTTAGTAAATTTGAGGGTCAAAAATATAAATTACACTAAAATATTAAAATTTTAATTGTTGGCTTCAAGAAACAGCTAGAACATTCTAGAAAGGAGCCACAATTTTTATTTGCTGCTCACTATCATGTTACAATTTGCTCTCTCATAAAATAATAATGTAGATTTTTTCCTAATAATGATAAAAATCAAGATAAAGTTTTTTATTTTTTTATTTTTCTTTATGATAATTTGGTGGCAAATGGGCAATTGACAACCTATTTCTTGAGTCTTGACAACAAAGTCAAATGTTAAAAATTAAATAAAATTCATGCACTTAGAATGCAACAATCTTAGAATTTTCTTCATGTTTGATTTTTTAACACAAGGGATAAATCAGAAAGGCCAAGTGCCACATAATTGAAATGTAAATATTTAAAAATTCAAAATATATTCATTATTATATATAAAATAAAAATAAATAATATCATAATAAAATTTGATGAAAATTGATTTATAACATAAAATTGCTTTAAAATAATTTAAATTTATAATTAAATAATCATTTATAAATTACATAATATCAAATTATTCATCTCAAATAAATTATATAGTTTTAATATTCATCATAAGAAGCCAAAAATAATTAGGAACACCATTGAGAGATACATAATGTTATATAGTCCTCCATCATAATG